AGAGGCTATGACTGAAGAAGCTTCTTTGCTATGTCAATCCCTAGCTTTTGAAATAATGTCTCCCACTCTGCTATAAAGCTGAAGAACTCTGATTTCTCCTCCCTGCACCGTGCAGTTGTGATATAACAGGACTCATTCAGAGCAGGGAGAAATAAAACAAAACTTGACTTCAGAGCTGGGTGACTAAGGTTCGTGCAGCTACAAAAGCTGGGTAGCTGCTCTCAAGCCAAATCCAGACTCTCCTCCCTCTTACTGACAGATGCAGACCAGATCCTGTCCATGGCAAAGAGCTGACTTATACCACTTGGATGGAAAACAGAGGGAAATTTGAAGTTGGATTAAGCTTTCAAACTCCAGTGCCCTTAACAACGTGCACACGCAAAAACAAAGTTGTCAGCTGCCTCCAAATAGCCAATAAAACATCTAACATTGGTATGTGAATGCCTGAAATGGATAAAGTCAACAAGCAGACCAAATACTCTTGATGAATTGTACACAAATACAGTCATAGAAAAACCAGCACTTAATCTCTGTCAAGCTCAGGAAGTCAAAGTGGGCCAACTCAAACAGGAAGGCAGGCACAAATGTGCCATTTCTGAATTGTCTCCTGCCTCAGTAGTCAAGTGTCTCCACTCATGATCATAAGTCTGCATCCACAGTAGCACAGATTCCAGTGACAATGATAAGCAAGGAAGGAAATGTTTCATGGTGGAGTCAAAACCCTGAACACAATATCATAGGAAACAAACATATGACATGGAGACAAGGAGTATGTGGCAAGGCCGTATTGTATTCAAGGATATTTAACTTAAACTGACCAGTACTTGCTGTAGATCACAGAAATCACTTTGATTTTCAGACTGTTACTCCCAGGTATTTTACAAACCTCCCTTCTACAGTTTTCTTTTTCATAACGTTTTCATATTAGAACAAAACCAAATCCCAAAGGGCAAGTAACACTCATCTTTTCTCCAAGTGAATAAATTGCCAAGAGGAGAAATAAACTCGGGTGTCCTTAAAACAACCTGAGGTGTGCTACAAGTGAAAACAGACTGAAATGTCTGGAGGTCCAGCTTACAACCACCAGCACGATACTGATCCAAGTGAAGAATACCAAAGCCTCAGCTACAATTGCTATAGCAATGGTTTAAGTGACTGAGGGATTGAATTTAGGTGCTAGAGACCTACTTAGAGCATAAATGGTTCCTGATGCAAATCGCGTGGTAACTGATCTCCAACATCTAGATGCAAATCCTTTTAGTCACTCAAACCATTGCCCTGTTCACGTGGTGTACAAGAGCCTCTCCACCTCAAGGCCAGGCATTAATCTGCAGATTTTGTTCATATGGTCAAATGCTAAAAGAAATGTTTTCCTAGTCTGTAAAAGAAAAATATTGTTCAATGGAAATGTAACCTTTAAAGGTCAAAAATCTTGCCTCCTCCACATTCCACTGAAACACTGTTTCTCTGGAAAAGAAAAAAAGGAGATCCCAACCTCAACTCCTACAATGCACCCCCCCCTGTAGTCAGTTGAAGAATGCACATATTTGGTAAAAGGAGGATGCAGAGGCTGCATTTTGTTGGCTCAGGGTAGTGTAAATGCATTTGAAAGAGCTTAACTGGAGTTGAGCTGAGTACTCAGAGTACCCAGCAAGTAATTTTGAAGAAAAACGGTTAGAACTGGTGTTCAGAGGTTTCTCTGTGGATACACCCCTAGCTTGGAAAGCCCTTCTTCCACTAAAGTCAGAAACTTTAGTCACTTCCAAACAGTTTTGAAGAATTAGACTTTTACACTGCAATAATTCCACCCAAGTCTGGAAAATGGTACTGTTGGACAAAGTCCTTTGTAGCTTACTAACCATATTTTCATCTAGGCTGCATACAAATACAGCTATATGAGCACTGTAGATTCAGTGCTCCTATGGCCTAATATTTGTTAAAATACTTTCTAGCACGTTCCCTCACTCTGCCTCAAGAGAAGCTTACAGGGAAATTTGGTTTGAATTCTTCCAAGAACACTGAATTAAGCAACAGCCTTACAGAGCTGCCTAGTAAGTCTGTATTACCAATGTTACTAGGATTAGCTCCCAAGGTGTTTCAGATTTAAAAACCCCTGTATCTCAATCAGAAGTATACATAAATGCTGTTCCTTGCTGCACTGATTCATACCCTAACAATGCCCTGTGAAAAACTTGATGGATCTGGAAAGAATGTATTGTATGAAGTCATTTTACCCTCGATTTGTTTACATGGCTATTAAATAGTAATAATTCCCATTTTCCTTCAGTACTACTGAAGTATATTACTTTCATTACAATGAAGCATAAATTCCCAGAACCACTAAATGTATCTATGCCTCAGAACTTACATTCAAAGGATAAAACCCTGTTCCCTGACTTTTGATCTATAGGCCAGACACTCCTATTTCAAAGATACCATGCTGTACTCCAAGCACCTCTACTTTACAGCCAAAACAACTACAGTACTGAACTTCTGATTTCAGGAAATTTCTAATACAATATTTGGCATTCTTCAAACTAAAAACAAAAGACTAGCTTTTGTGAGCTGTACATACAGTTATAAACTCATATCAGTTTATATTCAAGTTTTAATTGTATAATTAAAAACTTGCACAATTCTGTCTAAGTTTTCCCAGTTACCACACTCCTGATGGAAAATGGGGAAGAAGGAGGATGTGTCCTCCCCCCCTCCTTAAGAGTAAACCTGAACATCCTAGAAACAGATACTAAACACAGGGAAAGGAAGGAGTACAGTAGGTGAAGAAAAGGAAAACTGGGTGTTAAACCCAAGGTAATTCTTAAGCTTGAAGAGCAATTATTTTATTCCTGTTCCACTCAAGTTTAATTAAAATGTGATCTGGCCTTTGGCATGAAGCAGCAATCATCTGTTTGATCTCCTTGATTAAAACCAAAACCAAGCAGAGCCAACTTCAGCACTATTTGCATCCAGCTCTATTAAGAAGTCTGCATATTAACACAATATCTAGCAGGCTGTCAGCCTCTTTGCTGGAGTGCAAATCTAAGAAGTCATTTGCATCACTTGGTACACAGAATCTTAGCATACTTGCCAATCCCACCAAACAAACCACCTCCCTCCCAAGACAACCACACCAAAACCAAACCACCAAAACAAAGACACTTCTACAGAGAGACCCTCCAAAACCAAATAATAATAATAAAAAAATAATCCCAGGAGTGGCTTCTAAGGAAGAGATTTAAACCTGGCCATCTAATGCATGGGAAGCAAGTTATCTAAGGCATGCTCCACTCTGTACCACACCCTAACTCCTGCAAAGGCAGAGGCAGCCAGGAAAGGCTGTTCCTGCCTCCCTCAGCCAGAGGAAAAAGGCAGCTTAGCTCACACACAAACAAGGGTGTGCACAGGCCAGTGGCTGCAGTGGCACAAGGATATGAGCAAGAGTCATTTTGCCTCATTGCTTTGCATCTGCTTATCTCCAACATTCTCAGGCTTACACTAAGGACTTGGAAAGAGGAGATGACAGTCAGTTTTGAAGGGGTTTCACTTTCCTCAAGTATAAAAAGATACTACAGGGAGATAGGATTGCATTCAACAAGCAAATTCCTGAAAAGAAATCTCTAAATTTAAGCTCCCTCACAGAAAAGTTATTCCTGAATGCTGGTGCTACGTATGTTTGAACCCAAACTTCTTAAAATCTTGGAATCAGTCACATATTGCTTGGACACTGCTGGTCAGATCTGCATCTTGGTTAACTTGAGCCAGTTCAGGATAACACCCCTGGCATTCCTTTTCAGATGCATATTAAAAATGCAATGAACAGAAACAGTAGCAAATAAAATGTCTCACCTGTCATCTTCACTGGAAAGTCCACAGTTCTGCAGTCTTGAAAGGGCTAAGTGAAAAAATTGCTCTAGAAAGCAAATATAAAGAAGATGAATGAAAATGTTCAGTGCTTTCCAATATAGAACTAAGCATGCCACCCTGACTACAGCATTTTCAGACATAGTGGGTCTTAAGCATTGTGCATAAAAGAACTCAAAATAAGAAGATTTATACATTTTGTACAATTTGTACATTTAGGGTCACAGGTGAATCAATGATGCCAAAGAAATTTAGGTTTATCAGAGCTCCTCTCTGGGAAGCTTTTCGTGCCCTACCACTCCCCTGTTGGAGAACAGTGTGAGATTCATATCAAAAAAAAAGTCTTAGTTACAGTAAATAAGCACTAAAAGAGTTTCCAAGACTTGCATCCTAATTGACTTTGTTTTTCCTTCTGCTGAAACAGAAGCAGCCTTGACCCAAAAGGAGTGGACAGCATGGGACAGTAACTGGATTATTTATCTTGGGAGAAGACATCAAACCAGCATGTGCTCACTGGCAAAGTTGGGCAGAGGCACCTTCCCAGCCCTCCCTCAGTGGGCAGGCACCTGCTGGACTCTCAACGAGCCTCTAACTGGCAGGCACAGGCAAACACTGCACAGGGACAGCAGTCATGCAGCAGCAGGAACGCTCCCTGCAGCCCCCGTGAC